CACATGGTACTATGCCTTTTGGAGGAAATGAAGAGTTGTATCATCAAAGCCAGTGAATTATGACAAGATTAGGGAAATGACCCTAGAGTTAGGCAAAATTCCTTCCCTCTTCCAATCTTGCTTGGTAGAAGGGCTGTAAAAGTTCACTAATGTAGACCCAGACACTCCAGAAGGGCAATTAATCCTGGGACCCACTTCATAAGCCAATCAGCCACTGATATTCACAGAAAGCTCCAAAAGATCGCTTTAGGCCCCAAACTCCCTTGAACCAGCTTATAGATGTGGCCTTCTCTGTCGTCAGCAACTGAGATCAGGCTGAGGAGGAAAGGAAGAAACAACAAGGACAAAGGCAGGCTGGGCTTTTAGCTGTCACCATTAGGGCACCTGATACACCTCAGGTGTACCAACCCCTCAAAAGACCACGATCAAGAAGCTTGTTTCTCCTGTGGGTGCCTGAACTAGTGGAAACAAGAAGCCCTCCGAAGGCGCTCTATCCCCTATGTGGATGCAAAGGGCACTGAAAGACGGACTACTCTCGGGTCCAAAGGGAGCCAAGATCTGATCCTTTACCAGTTATGGCCCTAAGTGACTGATGGGGCCCAAGTTTCCTAGAGGCCCCAAAAGAGACCATCAACATTCCAAGGGAGGAACCATGGGTAACTATTGAAATGGCAGGGAAGCCTGTCAGATTTCTCATGTACTCCGGAGCCCCATATTCGGTCCTTATTTCCCATTCAGGACCCCTGACTTCCGAAGTACGGTCTATTGTTGGGGTAGAGGCAAAGTCAAAATCAGGATACCTCACCCAACCCCTACTTTGTTCATGGAGAAATTATCTTGTAACTCATAATAAGCTCCTGGTCAAGCCAGAATGCTCAAGCCCTCTATTGGGAAGGGATTTCATTTATTCCTTTTTTTTTTTTTTCAAGTTTTTATTTAAATTCCAATTAGTTAACATACAGCGTACTATTAGTTTCAGCTGTAGAATTTAAATAATTCAACACTTATATACAACACCTGGTGCTCATCACGATCATAGCACTCCTTAATTCCCATCACCTATTCAACCCCCCCTCATAGAAATCAGTTCTCTACAGTTAAGAATCTATTTCTTGACTTCTCTTTTTTCCCCCACTATATTCATTTATTTTGTTTCTTAAATTCCACATGAGTGAAATCCTGTTATTTGTCTTTCTCTGACTTATTTTGCTTAGAATCAAACTCTCTAGCTCCATCCATATTGTTTCAAATGCCAAGATTTCATTCTTTTTTTATGGCTAACATTCCATATATATGTATACCATATCTTCTTTATCCATTCATCAGCCAATGGACATTTAGGCTTTTTCATAATTTGGCTATTATTGATAGTGTTGCTGCAAACATTGGGGTGCATGTACCTGGGAAAGGATTTCATATTCATCCTTGGAGATACTCTCAACTTCCCAGAAACAAGGACCCTCTTCCCAGTTAGCCTGCACCCCCCCCACCTCTGTTCCACTCAAGGAAGACCCTCGTAATATTTCCCAACAAATCTGGGACCAAGTTAATCCCGAGGTGTGGGACAAAGGAACTCCAAGAAAACAATATTTACAATACCTGAAAAAATCACTTTAAAGGACAAAAATACCCCTGCAAATGCCAGTAAACCTAAAGTCCAATGAGGCCTCTAGACCTTAATAAACAAGTTCCTAAAACATGGCCTTCTAGTCCCTTGCCAGTCTCCCTGCAATTCTCCCAATTTTAAACCCAAACAGGGAACACTGGATGGTCCAAACCTCTAGGCAATAAACAAGGCTGTCATTCGTCTCCACCCCATTAGGCCTAATCCCTACACTATCTTAACCCAGATATCTAAAGCCACCACGTGGTTCACAGTCCTGGATCTTTAAGATGCTTTCTTTTGCATACCTTTACATCCAAATCTCAGTATTTCTTTACTTTTAAATAGACTACTCTATCTACCAATGTAACTCAGAAGTATACCTGGACAGTCTAGCAACAGGGCTTTAGGAACAGTCCCCACCCATCTGACAGTGCTCTTGTCAGAGTACTCAGCTCACTGTAGCCACTGAGCTCTCCTGCAACACACAGATGATAACTCATCTGTAGCCCCTCTAAGGAAGAATCAGATAAAAACACCGTCTGAGTTCTAAACTTCCTGGGAGAACAAAGGTATAAAGTTGCTCAACAAAGGCCCAAATTTCCAAAGAGGAGTATTTTATTTGGGGTATGTTCTGATGCTGGGAAGGTGGGTACTTTCTGTGAAGTACAGAGAAATTATATTGCATGTAGGCCCACCACAAACAAAAAAGCAGCTTAGAATGTTTTTGGGGATGGCAGGTTTGTGCCAAATCTGGATTCCAAGGTTTGGATGAATAGGAAGCCCTTGTATGAGGGTTTAAAGGAGCTAGACGCTGACCAGCTTAAATAGACAAGAAAATACAATAGGTTTTTCAAAAAATAAGAGCCTGCTCACAAACAGCCCTTGCACTAAGAATTCCTAACCTTAAAAAGCCCTTCAAGTTGTTTGTGGCTGAAAGGCAAAGGGTAGCCCTCGGGGTACTTATTCAAAATTTAGGATGAGGCCCACAGCCAGTGGCCTATTTTTCTAACAACTGGACACAGTGGCAGCCAGATGGCCGGGATACCTGAGGGCAGTCACTGCCCACTGCACTTTCAGTAGAGGAAGCCACCCAGTTAACCTTAGGTCAGTCCCTGGAAGTACAAACTATACACCCTATAGGAAGCCTTAGAGATTAAATAAATATTGGCTAACAGGAGAGCTACCTCCTTTAGTATCTGGAGCTACCCTATAGGTGATCCTTAAACTATGTCAAATTCTTAACCTGACTACTCTCCCGCCATGCAAAGGAGATAAAAACGTACTCACTCCTGTGTGGAAACCACAGAAGACTCCTGTGTGGAAACCACAGCAGTTTTTAAAAAGGGATTAAGGGGGCCAGACCTTTGTCAGGTAAACCTTCACCAGGTCACAGAAGCAGGAGGTCTGTCCCCACTACACTGACACAAAGGGTTGAGCTTATTGCCTTAACTAGAGCCTTACAGTTAGGAAAGGACAAACGAGCTAACATCTACACTGACTCTAAGTATGCCTTTCTTGTTCTCCACACCCATGCTACCGTTTGGAAAGAAAGGGGGCTTTTAACTGCCAAACACTCCCCCGTACATCACCAAGTGATCCTTGATCTCTTAAAAGCAGTACAGGAACCTACAGAAGTGGCCATAATCCAATGCAGGGGCCATCAAAGGGGAAATGCTAATATTATTGCAGGAAACAACTGAGCAAACAATGAGGCTATAAATGGGGTCCTGGCAGCACTTCCAGTACAGATAGCCTTACTCCCCCATGGGCCAATCCTCCAACAAAGGCCCCAACGTACAGAAAGGAAAATAAAGTAGGCTCAGCAGAAAGGCTACCAACTAGATCATAATGGATGGTGGACACAAGACCAAAAGGTGATGCTTCCCCAGGCATCCAATGGAAAATCATCAAGGGAACACACAACTTCTTTCATATGAGAAGAGATCCATTAATCTCCTTAGTTGATAAGAACCTTTTTAGGAATTGGCACGTCACGAGTATCAAGGAAGAGTTATCACCAGGGCCTGTGATCTATGTTATAAAAACACCTTTCGAGGAAAGCTTAGACCACCTCCACTCCTCTAGCCCATCCAAAGGTGAGGCACACACCCTAAAGAGAGCTGGCAGATAGACTTCACACAAATGCTCCCATCTCAGGGATAAATACCTCCTAGTCTTTGTGGACACCTTCATTGGTTGCATAGAGGCTTATCCTGCTAGAACAGGAAAAGCTCAAGAGGTATTAAAAGCCCTATTAAAGGGAATTATCCTGTGCTTTGGGCTTCTAAAGTCTCCACAGAGAGATAATGACCCCCCTTTATTGCAAAGCTTACTCAACATTTGTTTTTGCTTTGAGAATTCGTTACTACCTCCATGTTGCCTGGAGATTCCAATCCTCAGGAAAGGTTGGGCTACTCAAAACCCTTAAAACAATCTTGGCCAAACTTTGCCAGGAAACCTCAGAATCCTGGACAAAACTCACGCCCATAGCCTTCCTGTGAATGAGAATGGCTCCCAAAAGAGACCTCCAACTCAGCCCTTTGTAAAATTGAATGGAAGAGCTTTCTTTATGGCAGATCTGCTGTTTGATTCAGAAATGCATGAACTTATAAAACATTTAATCGTCCTAGGGCAGATACAGCAGGTTATCATAGATTATGGCAACAAAGTTTTGCCTGTGCCTAAGAAAGAACCTGTCCCTGCCCAGTTCAGGCCAGGGGATATGATTTTATTAAAAACTTGGTGAAAGTGCTCCCTTTCAGATCAATTAGACCCCAAATGAAAGCAGCTCTGCCAGGTTCTTCTTAGCACTCCAACAGCAGTTAAGCTTCAAGGCATAACTAGCTAGGTTAATCTGTCTAGAATAAAGCCAGTGGTTCCAGACTCCCCACAACCAAATACTAAAGAAATTCCATCCTATTCCTAAGCCTGTGGAAGATCTACATGACATCTTCAAAAAGATAAGTGCTTGATATACATTTGTTTTATATTGTTAGCTATCAACTTGATTTTTCTTATACTGGTTCTCCTCCTTGTGAACCTTTGCCTATATGGACCTTTAAACTGATTTCCTTATTAATCTTCAGACATACTCCAAAAAATCACATTTTATCTTATTCTAATCACTGCTCTAACTTGTGAAGGTCCACAGGGGTAAAGGGAAAACTGTTTCAAATCTTTCCATCATAATCTCCCAGGGGGATAAACTTTTAGCTGTTGGATCTGTCATTTACATTCTCAAGAAGACACTTCTTACATCTTGTTTTATCTCATTCATTCTCCCAGTATAATTCACCTCCAAACAAAACAAAACAAAACAAAACTATACTGGACCTAGTTCTCTTCCCCTAGAAGGGATACTTGTTGACCCAAATTGGAACATATGTGGACTTACCCACTCTCATCACCCAAGACATCTCAGGAATTAGTCCTTGATTTTACTTAACTTCTGAGTCCATGCTATCAAATAACACACAGACAAATCCAAAAGACGGGTCAGCTGCCAAATAACAACACCTCTTCACAGGATAACTCAAGATTCTTGGACAATCAAATAATTTCTAACTTAAGTTTAATGCACTAAGTACAATATAGGGTATGCTTGCTTAGAAAATAAAAATAATGCAGATTGTGATGTCACCCTCCTTACCTATGCTCAGATGCTCCCCAGAATAAAAGAAGAACTTCTCCACCCTAAATGCACACACAATCTTTCAGGTGAGTCCCGCAGCTGTAGAATCTGGAAACAGTGAGTTATCCCATAACTTTATATGCCCCTCCCAATTATCTCCTTGCCTGTGGACATCCTTCTCACAACCCACAGGAACCAATCTTTACCCAACTTGTATCGGCCCAAGGATTTCTTTGCATTGATAACCTCAAACATTGGGGCAGTTACACAACAGGGTATGTGGTTTTTCCAGGAGTCTGCATATATAATTCTACCCAACCCCATGCTAGAGCCTGAAGGGCAACAAGCCTTGTATTGGCTGGAATAGTAGGTACCCTTGGTGCTAGCCCCTTGGGTGGGATTTGTATACCATGAAACCACTCTGTGAAATCTGACAGCAATGTTAGATAAACTAGCTTTCACCGCTGCATCCACTTGCTCAGATCTCTCCAGGCCACACCAATCTTTGGCTGGTATAGTTCTGGACAACAGGCTGGTTTTGGATTACTTATTGGCTGAGCAAGGTGCAGTATGTGCTGTCATTAACAAAACATGTTGCACTTATGTCAACACCACTGGACAGATGGAAGACAACATCTGAAAATTATATGACCAAGCCAAAGGGCTCCACCAAATGACCAAAGCGGCTGATATCACTAATGCTATTTGGAACGCTGTGTGTGAGGTGCTTCCATCTATACCCTGGTTCTTGCCCTTTTTCGGTCCACTAGTGGCTATATCGTCACTTTTAGTTTTTGGACCTTGCTTGTTTAACTTGCTTGTCATATTTGTCTCTTCCAGACTCCAACAATTTCACCTCCAGATGATGATGATAGGCATTTCAACCTATATCTCCCATGAAGACGAAACTTAACCCACATCCCCTCGAACAATCCACAGCTTCCTTCTACTCCCCACTATCCTTCCAGGTTTCCTAAAACCTAGACAGCAAGGACTTCTGGAGCCCTCAGGCAGGGTGAATGTCCCATACCAGCATGAAGTAGTTACGTTAAGATGGATTGTCACCCATTTTCCCTTAAAAGATTTTGAGGGTCCAGAGTCCTTGCAGGGGGAATGTTAGAGTAGGCAGGTAGTTAGGCTTTCCCAGGGTGCCTAGAGGCCAGCAAAAGGGAAGTCAAGGCCCTTTATCAGTAAAGTTAGCAACCTGTCCTGGCAGCATTCCACAAACAAAGCCACAAGGAGCTAAATCAAACCAGAGAGGCCCAAGATAAAGAAGGCCAGAGACCTGACCAAGTAAGGGAGAAAAGACCCTGAATGAAACCCTGTTTCCCTCAAAATCCCCTACCCAGGTAATGAATATCCCATGCTTCGGTTAACAACTGTTAATAAAGGATAGAGACCAATCCCAGAGGCAGCTCTCCCTGGAGGTTGCCCACTCTTACATCTCCAGAGTATACTCTCTATTTTATAGACTCTTCACTTGTGCTACTCAACCAATGTGCCTGGGCTATCCTTGAATTCTTTTCCTGCAATGAGACCAAAAGCCTCGAGCAACATCCTGGGCATGGGCTGGGCAGAGGCCTCAGGGCCCAGAGATCTCCCTGGTTCACCCAGTTACATATTGATGTAGCAAACTTCATTGTTGTCTTATTTTATGGAATTACCACAGCCACCCCAACCTTCAACAACCACTACCCTGATCCGTCAGCAGCCATCAACATTGATGCAAGACCCTCCACCAGCAAAAAAGATTCTACTCAAAGCTCACATGATAATTAGCACTTTTTAGTAATAAAATATTTTTAAATTAAGGCGTGTAAATTTTTTTGACATCATGCTATTGCATATTTAGTAGACTGTAGTACAGTATAAACCTAACTTTATATACACTGGAAAAACCAAAAATTTCATTTGACCCACTTTATTGTGATATTTGCTTTATTGGTGTGGTCTGGAACCAAACCCAAAGTATCTCCAAGGTGTGCCTATATAATAAAAAAATTTTTTTTTGATATAGGGTGACTGAGTGGCTTGGTTAAGCATCTGACTTCAGCTCAGGTCATGCTCTCCTGGGTTCATAAGTTTGAGGCCTGCACTGGACTCTCTGCTGTTAGCATAGAACTTGCTTTGGATGCTCTATCCCTCTGTCCCTGCCCCTCCCACACTTGCACATACATGCTTTCTCTCTCTCTCTCTCTCAAAAATAAACATTAAAAAAAAACAAAATAATAATTTGATATAATATTTGTCTAATTAAATTGGGAAAATCATCCAGAAAGTGGAACAAGAAGAAAAAAAAGATAGAAAATAGAACAAGTAAGAAAAAATGTCATTCAAGAAGGTCAAACATCTGAGTAATGAATTTCTGAAAAAAGAAGACACACAATGAGGGAGGAGGAAGATAGAGAAATTAGCAATAAATAATACCAGAAAAATTTCCAGAACTGAGACATATGTTTCAAGATCAAACACAGCCTATCAAATACCAGCCCCATAAGAATGAAGAAAAACCCATAACCAAGATACATGACGGAATCTGAGAACACTGGGAATAAAGAGAAAATCCTCAAACTTCTTGAGACGAAACAAAACAGAAACAGTTTACATATAAAGAAATTACCTGAGGATGAAGTAGGTAAATTCTCCCTATTCCTTGACTTTAGCCCAGTGAGACTGATTTTATACTGTGATCTCCAAAATTTGTAAGATGATGAATTTGTGTTGTTTTAGAAAATGAAAATAAAATTATCTATAAAGAATAGGAACACGAGGTAAGATTTCTCATGACAATACTGGAAGCTAAAACACCGTGAAGCAAACCCTCTAATATTCTCACTAAAAATTATTTTCAACGGAGAATTCTATACTCCGCCAGAATAAAGACCATACATACATGCCAGGTCTAATGAAAAGGGGGGAGGGAGCACCCGCCTGCAACATTCTCAAGAAACTCTTAGAGGAGAGGTTCCACAAAGCGAGAAAAGGGAAGATAGAGATTCAGGAAACAGAGGATCCTTTCAGGAATGAGGCAGGGGGCCTTCCTGGATGGCTGTGCTCAATGAGGCACCAGATCATTTGAATGCAGTGGCTCTCAAACTTTGATGTGCACGGGAATCAACGGGGGATCTTGCTGAAATGCAGATTCTCATTCAGTAAGTGTGGGTAGGCCAGAGATTCTGAATTCTTTTTAAGTTCATTTGTTTTTTTTAGAGAAAGAGAGCGAGCGAGCGCGCGCACGCGTGCAAGTGCACACCTGCAAGCTGGGGAGGAGCAGAGAGACTGGGAGAGAGAATCCCAAGCAGGCTCTGCCCTGTCAGCATGGAGCTGGATCCCACAAAACGTGGTATCATGACCTGAGCCAAAACCAAGAATCAGAGACTTAAGTGACTGAGTCACTCAGGCACCCTGGATTCCGAATTTTTAACAAGCTCTCCTCAGAATGCTAATGTGGATGGTTCTGGGCTACAATTTGTACAGCAGGGTGTAGAGAACACAATCCAGACTGTAAGAAAGAATGAGGGAAACTGATTTCCTCCTGAAAGATCACTGAGAATGAGTTAGGGTTAGGTAACAATAGTGCAGTGGAGGAGGTAGAGAGACGGAAGGAAGGCAGGCAACAATTACTCTTTTAAATAAATACAAATCAAGGAGAAACGAGGGTTTGGGTGGGGGCAGTGCCATACATCCAGTCTTGCTACTATTAAACACCTAAAGAAAAAGGCCGGATCACCTTAACGGATCAAAATTCGGGACGCTGGAGTCTCTGAAGCATCCCTGGAGTTAGTAGCGTCTCCCTGCGCTAGAGTAGCTTGCGCGGGGACGCAAGGAGGGTGGATCTAAGCTTCACCCCCCGCCGCCCGTTGGGAAAGTGGGCGGGGCCTCGCGGGGCGGGGCGTCGACGGAGCCTTTTCTCTTAGGCGTGGCCCTGGCAGCAGAGTGATTCTGATTGGTGTCTCTTGATCCGGAAGCAGTTGCCGGCGCTCGGAAGCAACGGCGGGACGCGGGATTCCACGGGCCCTGCAAGTGCAGAATGGCCGGCGGCGGCGGGAAGCGCAGACCCGGCGGGGAGGGGCAGCAGGTACTGCCACAGTCGCTGTGTGGGCTCTGCCAGGCGCTTTGGGTAACAGCCAGGGCACCAAGGGGCAGCACATTGCATTTATCCAGTGGTAACTGAGTGGTTGCTGTGTGCCAGGGAACGGGGGAACGGCTGTCTGCTCCAGGCTGCTGTTTCCCATACTGCTGGGATTTGGACCGGAGAAGTAGCTCTTTTGCATCTTGTGCGCTCCTCGCGGTGCGGATCCTGGGGGAAGCAGCGTAAGACAACCAGTGGTTCAGTCGTTCTACCAGCAACAGATTGATTGGAAACCAATTATATGCCAGGCGCTGCCCAGGCGCCGCTGTTTTAGGATGAATCATGCTGCCACTGCCCGCCTGTATGGCCCTCAGCTTGGGGAAGCGGGGCACAAGTAAACATACATTTTGCTGTAACTGTTTTTTGTTTGGCATTGTAACGCTGCTGCGTAGAAAGTGCTGTGGAAACACTGAAGGAGGATCTAAGTCCCAGGAGGTTGTTAAGGTAGTCTTTTAGGGCAACGTAAGTTGGAAATGGCTTTTTAAGGCAGAGAGAGAAATAAGGAATAAGAAATAAAAGAGAAGTGTAGAGACTGCTTGGACACAGCGGAGTTCTGCCTGGCTGGAGTCTGGAAGATGGGAAAGAGGGACCTTATAAACGCACTAATAATGGGGAGCGGGACATGAATTAATGTGCCCGTTCTCATCCCTTTATACGATATTAGAAGTTCTGTAACTACTGCTGTAGCAATTAGGAGAGTCAGGCAGGAAAGAAATATTGTGATAAGGTTTTCATAAAAATTACTCTCTCTGTATTATAAACTCGATAAAGCAGGACAGTGTTAGCTTAATTGTTAGAGAGCCAAGTTCTGGGTATTATTTGTATTGGGTCATGCTTGCTAGGAACACCGGGGTAAAGGATGAGTGTAGCCAATGAAGGGGACAGCTGTCCTAAATTCTAGTTATTGGGGATTTGAGGATGCTAAATTAGTGTGTGAGGTAAGACAAAGCTGAAAAAATCTTTATCTCCCATTGAAGGTGCTATAAACTAGTTTGAGTGATAGCATTAGAAATAAAGATGAGGGGCGCCTGGGTGGCTCAGTCGGTTAAGCGACCGACGTCGGCTGAGGTCATGATCTCACGGTTTGTGGGTTCGAGCCCCGCGTCGGGCTCTGTGCTGACAGCTAGTTCAGAGCCTGGAGCCTGCCTTCGGATTCTGTGACTCCCTCTCTCTCCGACCCTCCCCTGCTCATGCTGTCTCTGTCTGTCTCTCAAAAATAAATAAAACATTAAAAAATAAAGATGAAAATGAATTTATAGACAATAATTAACAGTAATAGCTACCATTTATTTATTATGTGCTACAACTATTCTGCATATTTTTAAAAAACAACTTATTACTCCTAACAACCCTGTGATATAGGTATTACATGCCCTTTTTATAGATAAGAAAATAGGCACAGGTTAAGTAACTTCCCTAAGGTGACAAAGCTGGAAAGAAGAAGACTCTAGAATCAGCCCAGGCAGTCTACCCATTAGGCAAAACCATCCGTCAGCAAGGTAGTTTAAGGCTTTTCTTTATCTTAAGTTTGAGCCAGTCTTTGAATGCATAACCAAAGACTGCTATAAAAACATAAGAGAGGATAGGTCAGGACTTGATACGTTCCTACTTAAAAAAAATTTTTTTTTGATGTTTGTTTATTCTTGAGTGAGAGAGAGACAGACAGAGCTTGAGTGGGGCAGGGGTAGAGAGACAGAAAGACACAGAATCAGAAGCAGGCTCCATGCTCTGCTTACTATAAAATAACATGCTCTGACCTGTCAGCACAAAGCCCGATGTGGGGCTTGAACTTACAAACCGTCAGATCATGATCTGAGCTGAGGTCGGATGCTTAACTGACTGAGCCACCCAGGTTGTTCCTACTCTTGTATGTGATCGGAGAGGCAGCATAAAGTGGATGAATCTGTGCTCTGGAGCCAGCGCGTTTGGGTTTAACCGTTCTTCCACTTTCAGTTAGGGATGTAAGGGAAGATACTTCATTTTTCTCATTTATAAAATGTGGATGGTACTGTCTAGCTCACAACATAATTGTGAGGATTGAATGAATTAAGGAAAGTTTAGAACGTTTGGCACATGGTAAGTGCATGATAAGTATTGTTATTTATTACTTATTTTTACTGTTATCTTTACTGTTACTTATCAACATTTATTTCTGCATCCATATTTCTTCTTTTTTAATTTTTTAAAAATGTTTATTTATTTAGAGAGAGATACAGCGAGCAGGGGAGGGGCAGAGAGAAGGAGAGAGAGAATCCCAACCAGGCTCCACACTGTCAGCACAGAGCCCAGTGTGGGGCCCGAACTCAGGAACCACAAGCCCATGACCCAAACAGAAATCAGGAGTGAAACATTCAACCAACTGAACTACCCAGGCACCCTTTTTATTTTAATGTTTATTCATTATAAATTTTTTTTTTAATTTATTTATCTATTTTGAGAGAGAGAGCGAGCGAGCGAGCATGCACGCACATGCAGGGAAGGGGCAGAGAAAGGGAGAATTATAAGCGGGCTACATGCTGACCAGTACAGAGCCCATTGTAGAGCTCCAACTCACAAATTGCGAGATCATGACCTGAGCCAAGATCAAGAGTCGGATGCTTAACCAACTGAGTCATCCGGGTGCCCCTAAACGTTTATTCATTTTTGAGAGAGAGTGCATGAGCAAGGGAGGGACTGAGCAGGGACAGAGGATCCAAACTGAGCTCTGCACTGATAGCAGAGAGGCCACGTGTGGGCTTAGAACTCATGAACCATGAGATCATGACCTGAGCTGAAATCAGATGCTTAACCAGCTGAGCCACTCAGGTGCCCCTGGATCCATATTTCAGTAGCCTTTTTCTTCAATTTAAATTGTTTTATGACCTCAGACACATTATAATCCTTGACATAATAAAATGTTACTGGTCAATGCATGGCCCTCCTTTACCTTATTTAATAATGTAAAAAACATCCGTGAACCTTTGCCCTACCCAGGAACTAAAACACTGACAATTAGCTATACTTGTGTTCCTCACCTTTTTTTTCTAACTTCCTGTCAACCCCATTTATGTAGCTTCCATCCTCAATTTTATGTTTTGCCTTGCCTTCTTTTTATAGCTTTGTCACAAACAATATTTGTTGTTTTTGAATATAATAAAAACGCTGTCATGCTGCATATAAACTTTAAGGACTTTTTTCTTTCATGCAACATTGTATTATTAAGACAGATCTATATTGTGTGTAGCTATATTTTTCTTTTCACTAAGCAGAATATTCCACTGTTAGAAATCCTTTAAGTTTACCTCCTTATGTCAATAGACGTTTTCATTTGTTCCGTTTTCTACTCTTATAAACAGCACTATCAGGAACATTTTTTTAAATGTTTATTTTGAGAGAGCGAGCGTGTGTGTGCATAAGCAGGGGAGGGGCAGAGAGAGAGAGAATTCCATGCAGCCCCATGCAGGGCTGGAACTCACAGACACATCATGACCTGAGTTGAAATCAAGAGTTGGACGCTTAACCAACTGAGCCACCCCGAGAACATTCTTGTTTGCATCATCTGATTTATAAATATATTGTATAGACTTTGATATGTAAACTAACATCAATAACCTTGAGCCTACTGGGAAAATAAAATCTGAGAAACTTCTAGGTTAGAATTTCTCAGCCTTGCACAATGGACATTGTGAACCTGGTAGGCGTTTCTTAAGGGCGCTGATCCAGTGCATCGTCAAATGCTCAGCAGCATCCCTGGTCTCTGCTCCACTAAATGTCATTGGCACCCTATCCTAAATTTATGACAACTAAGCGTGTTCCCTGGGAGGCAAAGTCGCTCCTAGTTGAGAAGCGCTGACACAGGTGGAAAGGAAGAATAAAAAAGAAGAAACTTAATCCAGAAAGAAAGGATAGAGGCTCCTAGAAAGAAAAAACTGCTGCTTAGAAAACTAAAGATATAGGGGCAACTGGGTGGCTCAGTCGGTTAAGTGTCCCACTTCAGATCAGGTCATGACCCCATGGTTCATGGGTTCAAGCCCATCAGGCTCTGTGCCTGGAGACTGCTTTGGATTCTGTGACTTCCTCTCTCTGCCCCTCCCCCCTCTCATGCTCTGTCTCTCTCTCAAAAATAAAGAAATTTAAAAGAAAACTAAAGATGTAACCTCCAACTAAGCATTTTATCTTTATAGAAATTAACAAATAGGTATTATAAAACCTAGCATACTTACATAACATATTGCAGGGATATTAGAGATGAGTTTTATAACCTAGTCCTGGCATTAAACGCCCTTTTCTGAAATAATTGTTTTCAGAACAATTGTAAAATTCAGAACAATTTACCAAAAAATGGTAAGTCCCCTTTTATCAGGTTATTTCTGACAGTTGGCTTCTGGTGTGATCACCGAATCTACTTAAATGGCATAATAACCTATTTACCCAAAGAAGGCAAAATCTTCCTTATTCCTCTTCCTATTCTGTACCTTATATACTTGTTTTTTTATTTTCTATATTTCCATTCTCTTAGAGAAGTATATTTAAAGACTTGCTGTGTGCATCCTTCTTGACCGCTGTATATTACAGTTTTCCTTTTTTCTTTGCCCAAAAGAATCCCTAGATTTTATTCAGAAATACCATTTGTGGAGTTTTAAGGAAACTTAAAACTGTATCAGAGTTGGGTGAACAAAAATGAGCAATACTGGGGGCACCTGGGTGGCTCAGTC